AACTAATATGTCGTTGACAGCACCTGTTGTTACTGCTGTCAATGACATAATAGCCAACAAATCTTACAATTAAAAGTGAATGATTTAATTAATGTATCAATGTTGGAATTGTGTCTTTTTAAAGTTTCTAGTGTTGTCTACCCGTGCTGCATTCTTTTCCATTACACTGTTCCCAGTTATCCCTGTGGACTACAAAACACTCCTCCCTATGTTACAGAGAAGAAATGGGAGTGTTCTGTAGTCCTTACACGCTTCCAATCCTAGGGTAATTTATCCGCCGTAGATACAGAAAGGTGAGTGAGTGCTGCCTTCCTAAAACAGGTGGAGTGAAGCTGATTACCCCTTTTGGGAGCCATCCAGGGGTGTATTTACTGCAAGGAAAACAAGGCATGTGAAGATACCACCTTGTGAGTAAGAGGAGAAAGGTAAATATTCCTGAAAGGTTCAAAAGGCAGTCTTTGAAGAGCCCGACAAAATCAGATTTAGATTCCACAGAGTCACAGGAGGTTGTACTGGAAGAACTATATGAGAGATTATTATTATTATACAGGATTTATATAGCGCCAACAGTTTGCTCAGTGCTTTACAATATAAAGGGAGACAATACAGCATCAATACAGTTCAATACAAGAGGGATAGGAGGGCCTGATCCTTGGAGCTTACAATCTAAGAGGCCTTGCACAAAGTCTTAATTGAATAATTGGAGCCTAGCAATCTCTGAAATAAGACTACAAGGACAAAGATTTGCTTACAGATGATACTCAGGGTCAAAAACTGGGCCATGCCTGATTGCAGAAAGGTTGGGATTCTTCCCACAGAGTATTTTCTTGGGCTCTGCCTGTAGCACTTTCCAGGCCTTCGTGTACTGTGTTATAGCTGCAGAGCACTTTCCAGGTTCAGAACCATGGTGCATCCTCTGGTGTGACCCAAACTTTAGAGACTGTTTAATGAGTGCACCACATGGGCTGAGCTTCGGGGGATACTAGATTATTAATAACATGAACTGTACCCATTAACTCCCTATTCCATCAGTTTCTTCAGACACCAACAAAACGGAACATTGTAGAGGGAGAGCGCGTGTAACACTCCAAGCTAGTGACGTAGCACCTAATTCTTTAGTGCAGACAACCCTTTACACACCAAAGAAACAGGAAATGAATGGTGGCAGTTAATGTTACCAGTGATATTGTAGCTCCTGATGCTCAGCTCACATGGGGTACTCGTTAAAGAGTCTTTAGAGACCAGGTCACACCAGAGGCTGTACCACAGCTCTGGACCTGGAAAGTGTTCTGCAACTAGCTAACATACACAAAGGCATGAAGAGTGCCAAAGGCAGAGCCCAGTGCCTGAAGGGTGTGCGGTCCATGGGGTCTAGATACTGACTTCAAAGCTACTGCCAAAGAAACTCTGATCTGGATATTTGCTTAAAGACCCAGCTCAGCAGCATGTAGATGAAGTATTTTTTAGAGCAGAAAAAATATCTTGAGAATAATTTAAAGGATAATTTACTTTTATGGGAAAAAATGTAGCACATAAAAAATAATATAGCATATACAATTGTTACACAAGTCACGTAGTTATTTAAAATTCTTTCCTCATCAATCTGCAACCAGGGCCGTGGATAAGGGGATACCACCAGTCCTCCTGTACGGGGCCCAGGCCAGCAGGGGGGCCGAGGTAGCTGGGTAAAACGGATGTGAGCAGGGAGGGTGATCGGCACAGCTGGGGGGCAATTACTGGAACCAATCCCCTGTATGGCTCTCTGCAGCAGCTGAAAGTTGGCACTTCACCTATCCCTCCCACTGGCTTTCAGCTGCTGCAGAGAGAGCCACACAGTGGATCGGTTCCAGTAACTCCCCCCCCCGCCGCACCCAACACCCTCCCTGTATACCATACATTTCCCCTTGCTGCCCATGCCCCCCACCTTTGCAATGTTGCTGGCTTCCCTCCTCTCCTTCTCTCCGGCAGCTGCAAGCACACAATAGGATCCTTCAGGATGGAGAGTAAAGGAAGGGTCTGGTAAAATATGTCACATTAATCAGCCCCATCCTTCCCTGAACACAGTTAATGATCGATACTGATACCTATGACTTAGTGTGTTCATTCATAACTGAAGCATAGTAAACTGTGTACTTTTTTTAGTGGGGGGGGGGGGGGCTGTCAATTTGGCTGTATGGGGCCCTGTGGTTCCTAACAACAGCCTTGTCTGAAACCACTGCAACTTTCTGTAAAATTCAATGCAACGTGGCAGCTCAGAGGTCTGTGCACAATTGTAATGTCATTTCCTGTTTGTGTGGTTGGCTCACTGTTTTTCCCAGAATTCTGCACAAATATACAAATGAAATTTTGGGCACCACTGCAAAAGGAATCTCAATTGTGATGGCATGCTTGCCAAGGATTAAATACTTCTAAAGGGATGCAGACACTGAAGCTTTTCTCATTAGAATTCTGACATTAGGTGATTAAAATAAACCAGACCCTCCCATTTACATTCAGTCTGCAATCAGTGAAATCATCTAATGAAACAAACAGCTTTTTTTTTTTTTCTTTTTAGAGCAGGGGTATCCAAACTGAAACAAACAGCTTTTTTTTTTTTTTTTTTTTTTTTTTTTTTTTAGAGCAGGGGGTATCCAAACTTCTAAATACAAGGTTCACATTATACAGTATTACTTACAAATTTGCAGGCCCAAAAAAATCCCCAGAGCCCCTATATATCAAGGTCTCCCTTACATCAGGGACCCCATCAGAGGCTCCCTTACATCAGGGTCTCCATCGAAGTCCCCCTTACATCAGAGTCCCCTGTTACATAAAGGGGAGTTGAAACAGGGACCATAGATAACCTTTTACTTTTTCTACACAGCATCCACTAACTTTGCTACAGTCCATGGAAAGCTCAGAATAAACAAGCCACATACAGTTCTCAAGTCTCCTCTTTTCCTTCCGTGACAGCGATACAAGATAATATTGGTTGTGGCAAGGGTTAAGAGGTATTTGTCCACTGAGTGACAGGTGGTGTCAGCTGTGTAAAATGGACAGAAGCTGCATGGAGACATATTCATCTGACCTCTGCAGGCATCCTGCATAAATGGTTTTGCTGAAGGTATTTTTCATTCAGCCTTGGTTATTATTATTATTATACAGGATTTATATGGCGCCAACAGTTTGCTCAGAGCTTTACAATATAATGGGAGACAATACAGCAACAATACAGTTCAATACAAGAGGGATAGGAGGGGCCCTGCTCCTCGGAGCTTACAATCTAGGAGGGAGGGGCTAGTGGTAAAAAAAGGTAGTAACTGTGGGGGATGGACTGGTAGGAAGAGTAGAAGATTCCATTGTTAGCTGAGGGCAGGATAGGCTTTCCTGAAGAGATAGGTTTTCAGAGATCGCCTAAAAGTGAAGAGTAGGCAATAGTCTGATCTGATAAATTGGGGTAGAGAATTCCAGAGGATGGGGGAAGCTCTGGAGAAGAGCATGGGAGGAGGAGACAAGGGAGCTAGAGAGCAGCAGGTCGAGTGAGGAGCAGAGAGTACTGGGAAGCCAGTGGAGGGATTGGCAGAGAGGGGTGGCAGATACAGAACGGTTAGTAAGGTGGATGAGTCTGGAAGCGGCATTCATGATAGACTGAAGAGGGGATAGCCTGCAATTAGGAAGGCCAATGAGGAGGGAGTTACAATAGTCAACTGATGTGGTGCAGAATTTGCAGTGTTTTCAGTGCGAATTCCGCACTGCATCAGAATCGCACCCCGTTCATGCGAACCGCTGCAGGTGTGTATGCGGTCCGCAAAAACGGTGCGATGTGCAGAATCGGATCGCATAGGTGTGAATACCTATGTGATCCAATTCTAGTGCAGACCAAAAAAATGGGTCCTGCACATATTTTTGGTGCGGTGCGAATATAGCCATACAAAATGTATGGCTCCAATCGCACCGCACACAAATCAAATGTGATTTGCACAGGAATGTGGTGCTGTTCCTGTGCGAATCACATGCGATATACTGCACTGCACCGCACATATGTGAATCCAGGCTCATACATGAAACAAGAATGCATCCTGACTGCGAAACGCCTCTAGTAACATAAAAAAGCATTGCATTTTATGAACACCATGACTGCAGCACAGTCGCATTGTATCCCGCATTTGCAAGTTTAGTGTTTGGTTTCCATTTGTTGTTTGGGTTGCGTTTTAATATCTACTTCCACTTCCGACAGATGCAGCATGCACACCTAAATGCTGAGAGTCCAGACACTCCCTTCCATCTGTCATTTCAAAGCTGATTAGAAGCTGATTGTTTCATGCAGAAGGGACTGATTTTGGACTCTCCAGCTTTAGTAAATAAAATTAATTACATTTCATTACACAGATTTAAGCTTTTTTTTTTTTTTACTTTTTTGATGATTTTTTTTGGTCTCCTTACAGCAAACTGTCAAGATCAGATTTATCCCTGCTGTTGCTGAGCCAGTCAGCTGGAAGTAGACTGCATACACTGATCCCCCCACACTCGCCCCTACACAGTCCCAGACCAAACCCTTTTTGCCTGTGAAAGATGAGAACATTTGGCTTCAATTGGAAGACTAGTTGGCAGCCCTCAACGCTCAGCCTGGGTTTTTAACGAAAGTGAGAGAAAGAGAAGAGTCAGAGCAACTTAGAAAGAGCAGTGATGGAGAGGCAGTGCAGCTGAAGTCAGACAGTCCACAGACAGGACTGTATTATCACTAGACACTAGAGCCATCTGCAATCACATAGAGGGAAGACATAACATTGCAGATTAGGAATTTAGATGAAATACTTGGATATTTAAGCAGAAGAGTAGAAGTGGGAATTATGCTAAGTATTTTCTGTTAACCTGTAACTGATAGAGAGAGATAAGAGTCACCATAGCCAGGTTCTAGCAGAAGAACTTAGCCAGACAGCATGGACTGCCAAAGAGTGGAGGATGCTGGGAGTGGACAGAGGAGGCTCGCCTGGATAATTCTTGGACCATTTGCACTGATGGTACTAGTTGCTGGCATTTTCACTGCTTCCACCATTGCAGAAAAGAAGACACAGGTAAGAGTTAGCCCCAGATTGGGTTTCTCCTAAAGTAGATCTTAACCCAGTCACTAGAATTTCATAAAAGCTTTAACTTTTTAATTAAATTTAAAGTATTGCTTTTAATATATGTACATTATTAAAATTATAACTGATAATCCTGCTACAAATGTGCTTGTTCAAGAACTTCCTGTTATTGGGTGACAACCATTTCCCATTTGAGATTCTGCATTGTCACCTTGTCACATGCTCCCATGGTGGAGACTACAAGCAGCCATGCTGACATATACTGTTCAGGCATGATCCAACATTGTCACCATCATGAAGCTGGTGCAGAGCAATGATGTGCAGCTGAAGCTGGAGTGAGTGCATGCAGACAGGACGTGGAGTGACAACTGTTCCCCAATTGTGCTTCTGCATTGTCACCCTTTCATATGTTTCCATGGTGTAGACTACAAGCGGCCGTACTGACACAAACTGTTCAGGTATGAGTCATCATTGTCACCATCAAGGAGTTGGCCCAAAGCAATGATGTGCCACTGATGTTGGAGTGTATGCATGTAGACAGAAAGTGGAGTGACAACTGTTCCCCAATTGTGCTGCTGCATTGTCACCCTTTTATGTTTCCATGGTGTAGACTACAAGTGGTCATGCTAACACACACTGCTCAGGAGCAACATCTACAAATTTGCCCTCCTGAAAAATTTAAGCAAATCAATTTATTTGAATTTCTGAAGAAAATGAAATATTTAACATGATTGCTTTCTGTAATCAGCAGCTCCATAGTGCTTTATTCTTAGGTTCTATTTTTACCAAATCTGTGTTATTTGTTCATAGTATAAATCTGTAGCAATGTACAAAAAACATATAGCTCTCTGAAAGTAGTGACAACAGGTTTAGTACATTGTGCAAAAAGCAAATGTGCATATTATATAATGGTAATCACAAAAAAAATCAGATTGAAATGAACGAAATATGACTTTTGCTGGACAGCATAAGTTAGCGCACTCTATTTTTTTTTGCATTTGAGTGACAGCTTAAAGGAAAATATTACTTATACTAAAGTGGTACTAAACCCACAACAGTAAAATCAGTCTGTATATGCAGTAAAGCATGCTTGTTATACTCACTGTGGAAACGAAGGGTTAATCCTCTGCATTGTGTAAAAAGGCTGTTTGATCCTGACTTCTGTGTTCCTCCCCTTTTTCAAGAGACCACCACTTATCTCCAGACTGAACCATAGTCATGCACATGCTCAGTTTGGTGTGTATTGCTAGAGTTTTTTTTTTTTTTTTCTTGGGAGAGTGCATGTGATGAGCACAGGTCCAATCAGCACTACTTAGACAGATATCAGGGGATTTGTATCCTCCTAGAGCAGAAAAAAAAACTCATCCTACAAACTTTAGCTAGTGCTGGGCTGGACACTGATAGAAGTCACAAGACAGCTCTAACTTCTGATGAGAAAAGGTATTTAGTGGTTTATATTTACTAAAGTAATTGCATTTCCATGTTCTGTGTACTGTGGGAGACAAGATATAGTGAATGCAGAATCCTGGGTTTAGTAACACTTTAAAGTGTTATTAAACCCACAACAGTAAAATCAGTCTGTAAATGCAGTAAAGCATTCTTGTTATACTTATGAAACCTCAGGGGTTAATCATCTGCATTGTGTAAAAAGGCTGTTTGATCCTGACTTTTCTGCTCTTCCTCATGTTCAAATGTCCAAGTCTTGTCTCTAGATAAGACAGAGTGAACTGTAGCCATTCTGCACATGCTCAATTTAGTGTGTTTTGCTAGAGGTTTTGTTTTTTCTTGGGAGAGTTAATGTTATCAGCACAGGGCCAATCAGCACTGTCCAGACAGAGGTCAGGGGTTTTGCATCCTCCTAGAACAGAAAGAAAACTCCTCCTACAAGCTGTAACCAGTGCTGTGCCGAACAACACTGCTCTAAGTGCTGATGAGAAAAGGTATTTAGTAGTTTATATTTACTAAAATAGTAGCATTTCCATGTTCTGTGTACTGTGAGAGACCAGATATAGTGAATGCAGGGCCCTGGGTTTAGTAACACGTTAAGGTACTCTGGGTTGAGATTTTTGTATTTTCAGTATTAATATACAAGTTTCACAGAATTTAATTTAAAGCCCAAGTTCAATACATTCCAGGTGTATCATAGCAAAAAGTGTGCAAAGCCAGTTCGCTTTTTTTTTTTAGGAAGCAACAGTAGCCTGAGAAGAAAAGTCTGTGTTCTGCCATCATGGTTGCAGAAAAGGACCCTTGCTCTTTGAGGGGAAGGAGTGGTTTCTCTGTAGAGGTCTCTCTGCAGGATGCATTCCAATCAGCAGGCAATATGAGCTTTGCTGCTTGCAGAGCTAGGCCTCATGCACACTGGGCATTTTTTCAGCTGCTGTTTTGGGTTTCAGATGGTTTTTTCTACAGCCAGTAAACTCCCCCGCATGTTATCCTATGTGTCCAGGCACACAAAGGCTTTTATCAGCATTTTTGGCACGACCATTTTCAGGCTGGAAAAAAAAAGCCAGAACTACTGCATTTGAAGCTGAGTTTTTCAGTGGTAAAAACCCTCTAACACTGAAAACCGCTGCAAAACACAGCTATCTGGCGTTTATCAGTGTTTTTGAGACTCAAGCTTTTGTGGGAGTATAGTTTTGCTAAAATAAATGCTAATGCAAAAATGCTAAAAAACATGGCTGGTGTTTTTAGAACATCCAGTGTACATGAGGCCTTGTACGTTGCTGTGACTAGGTAGGTGGTATGTTGGATCTCTGCAATAAAACCACTGCTTCCAGATGAAGAGCAAGGGTTCTTCTTTGCAGTATGCTGGCAGGTGACAGACTTTTCTACTTACTGTGGAAAATGAATTGTAAACCATTGAACACGTTTTTGTCTTATTATTATACAGTGTTTATATAGCGCCAAAAAGTTTGCTCAGCGCTGTACAATATAGCGGGGGGCAGTACATGAGACAGTACAATAAGAAAACAATATACGAGAGGTTCGAGGGCCCTGCTCTTTTGAGCTTACAATCTAGGAGGTCTTATTATACCTTTTATTTATTTAGCTGATTTAGGTGAAGGTTCAACTATGATTTAACAGACGATAAAGGTGGAATGGTTGGGACTATATTTTTCAACACACATCTGACTTACTTTCTATAGAGGAATACTGCTATCACTTTTATGCCTCCTTTAAGAAGACCCTGTAAATAGACCAATTATTTTAACAATAATATTCCCATATGATAAGATGTGCATTTAGCACCCTTTATGCATGTTATTTACCTATAAAAGCTTCCCTTGTGTATACATCCAAAAGCCCTGAGTCTGCTGCTAGGCACCACTATCCTCGATGTGATGTCAGCCAACTCAGAATTGTCCCTCAAGTAACACTCAATGCTATTCTCCTTCTCTCCTCCCCAGCAGCTATATAAAAGATTATGCAGGGACAGGGGTGGACTGACAACTCATGGGGCCCACGGGCAATAGGGGATCATGGGGCCCCTGTGTCCTTGCCCACACTCAAAGCACACCCAAAAAAGCCTATAAAAAGTGCCAGGGGCGTTTCATGGGGCCCCCTACTGACCCCGGGCCCTCGCGCAGTGCTCAAGTGCTCAGTCCGCCCCTGTGCAGGGAAGAAGGGGACCTGGGATAATAATTAGAATAGAATAATTAGAGGGCTACGACGTGCAAAGACAGAAGTGTGGCTGTGTTAGGGAACTGACTTTTCTATTAGTCAAATTTGCTAGCAAGCTGGGGATGACACCTTAGACCAGGGGTGTCAAACTGGCGGCCCTCCAGCCATTGCGAAACTACAAGTCCCATTATGCCTCTGCCTTTGGGAGCCATGCTTGTAACTGTCCATTTTGCAATGCCTCATGGGACTTGTAGTTTGGCAACAGCTGGAGGGCCTCCAGTTTGACACCCGTGCCTTAAACCAATAGAGCAAATATCTATTTTGACATTCATACTGTATTGTGGGAAAACCCATATTGGAATGCAGCAGTAGATCTTTCATATAACTTGTTTTGAGAAAGAGTTCCACTTTTCATTAGAACAATAGAGGGTCTGGAGATCAAGGGGAAAAGGTGAAGGTTACAAGTACACATCTCTGCTTGCAATGCCTGGTGTGACCCACTGTCAGGGGCGGACTGACCATATGGAAACTCGGGCACTGCCCAAGGGCCCGGGGTCAGTAGGGGGCCCCATGAGATGCCCCTGGTACCTTTTTCATAGGCTTTTTTGAGTTTGGGCAAGGACACAGGGGCCCCATGATCCCCTATTGCCCGGGGGCCCCATGAGTTGTCAGTCCAACCCTGCCCACTGTTATGACCTAAGGTCAGCTTGACCATGACTCTGGATATAGGTAAATTTTCAACGCTTATTGGGAATAAAACATAAAGCTGTATGTTCACTGAAGTTACAATAGAATACACCAAGATTTGTGGTTCAATGGACTGAAGCCTTGCATGTAAGCGCTCTTAAGAATATGTATTCATCTACCCTTGACCCCATGGTAGACCACTTTTCAGAGGCTTTATGTTTTCTGGCTTCTTAAGGTTTTGTAAGCTTATAAAAATGCTCCTCAAAGGAAGCGAGGAGGGGTGTGCACCAAGGGAAGCTATTTGGGGGTGAAAAGGCTGCCAACCTGGTGTTGAGTCCATTAGAGGAGGCTGCCATTGAGCAAAACAAGAACTGTATTACCAGAACAGAAGAAAGTTGCATCTCCCGGGCATTTCATGTAATGCATTCAGGCATATTACATCTATTTTTAACCTATAGGCTCAATATAAACATTGTACACTGAAGGCCGAGTAGTACTTTGCATACACAAGAAACCATCAAGTGCTGTTCTTGGTGTATGTATATATGAGGCACAACGTGTTAATTTTATGGTTCACTTTGCGGTATGTTGGATATTACCTCATAAAGAAATATGCTGCTTGAAAGCACCAATAATTTGGTTTCAGACAGTCATCAGGGAGCTAAATTAACCTCAGATTCTTG